GACTCACAAGTCACGAAATTCTCTTTTCCTTATATGAAAAATACAATCCATACGAGGATCGACTCAACTCTGACCTCCAGTTCCACCTTTGGTTCAACCACTAGGCTCCAAAAATTCTATACTAAGGCTAATCAAGCCTAAAACTCTTCTGCATCATACCCTGATCGGGGTACATTCCAACATCACACTCTCTTTCCATCTAGCGAGTATTACGGCTCCCCGCAATAACACGACAGCCTCTGACTAGTGAGTACTACTGCTCCCTATAGTACCACGAATCCCTCTCTCTGACTTGTGAGTACTATGGCTCCCTGTAGCATCACAACACCCTCTAACTAGTGAATACTACGACTCCCCGTAGCTTCTCCCCATACTCTCATTCTCATCCCAATGACACACTACGCCCACTAACTCATGCCCCATAGACTATCATAGATAGCTACACACACTTGCCCCACATGCATCACAGACTCCGGAGGTAACCGCCATAACAAAATACCTACCTCTGCGGAGATCCACTTTCTTAAATAATCCCTCTTGATGCCAATACCCGAAGGGCTCCCACTGGAACTGAAAATACATGATACACCACTAGTCGTCCCAACTCAAGATTCTAAATAACTCCGAAATCGGAACATTATACCCGGTCACCATGCAACACCATTACAGAACATCGCGATGTCCTACCTTAACCATTGATCTCCTACTCCCAGCACCATATAGATACAACAACACATTTCCTCTGAACTCCCTAAATAATTCCTCATTTTACCCAATGCACAACTTCAGTATATTCAAACACTCAATTGGAATACAAAGAAGGCGTTAACACTTCAGAACACGCTGATGATCCTCCAAAACCCTTTTCCCCTACTGCTCAAAATCCAAGCAATTATACACATACCAGCCCGGGAGTTGGCTGCTTGATAATATTCTATCCACGCTAAAGAGGGCATAAATATTCCATACTTCGACCCAGAAGTCCTCGGATGCTCATACCATCGATACAAGTGTTCCCTTTCAAACGGCCCTGACCATTGGCCAACTGCCGAGGATACACCCATCCTTTCTTAGACACATACCACATGTATTATCTCACTTTGCACCTTTCTTTGATCACCAATGACCCTGGCCTCATGAATTCAAGCTGCAAATTTATGTATCCAACCCTTACCATCTCTTCCACAAATTTCTAGTTCCCTCAATAAAATACCCGGTTCTCCCCTACTTAGGGTTCGAACCATCACCAATTGACACACAGACACACACACCATCCCACAAACGGTTTCCACTAGCAATATCACACTTGCCCTTGGAAGGTGCTACACAACACCTGATAATCTCCTTTAAAGAGATCAAGCAACCTGAAATACCCGGAATCTCAGAAGAAGTCCTTAGGAACATCTCATCGCGACTGACTCTAGTTGTTCAAAGTATCCTACCATCCCAATACCGAACATCTCGACTGTCCAGTAATATCACTAACTGTTAGACCGAAACAATAAATCATCATACTCCTCAACCTCGACTTCTCAACCCAAGTTCCAACACCTGAATCATCACAAGAACAGGGTCTCCACTCCCATACTCAATATCCATCATAGACAGAAGAGCCGCCACCCTGATATACTGGACTGGATTACCCGCTGATACCACCACCACACGCCCTACTATACTCAATTAGGGTGTAACGTGGTCCTTGACCATCTCAGTCCCCACTGACTACCTGCTCGTGGTAGATCATTTCCACGCGGCAGACATGCCGCCTGATACTCTGGTGGAAAAATCAACATCAATGTCAACCCGCATGGTTTTACTCCTATACCCCAAAACTGAAATCTCATGTTTCTCCTGTTTCCCACAGAAACATAAATAGCACCCATCAGGTCACAGAAGGTGACATCTCCTCCATTGACTGATCGCTCACTCAGGCCGCAATCCCCCCATAAATGCCTTCTCTACAAATCCCTGAGTCTTGCGAATACATCTGACATCTTACCAATAATACTCTGAAATTCTCCCGACCTCCCTATCAAGGGATGCCTCTACGGACTCAATCATGGCCCTCAGGCCTAAAACTCCATTGCATCCAAACTCCACCAGTCAATCCTGATCGGACAACCGGAGAATCACAAGCATCAATTGCTAAGAACCATGGTACTCAGCCCCTGACATCTCTTCTCAATCTGCTACGATGTATGGTACTCGAACCATGACATCACTCCTCAATCTGCTACGATGTATGGTACTCGAACCATGACATCACTCCTCAATCTGCTACGATGTATGGTACTCGAACCATGACATCACTCCTCAATATGCTACTTAGAACCTTCAGAATGCTCCCTGTATCGAGTATGGGTCCTCTACTTTCGGTAGTACGGGCCCATACTACCTGCCACAATTACCCATACTTCCCACACAGACCGTCCCAGAGCTCCTAAGTAGCTGCTCAACCTTCTCGTTCACCAATTATGCCACGCGTGCTCGCTCCTCAGTGAAATGCTCTACTCCACCAGTGTACTCATCTGGCTAAGGTCACTCCCACTTCTCCGCCATCAGCTGCTGAAGAGCTCCTAATGATGCCAGTCATCTCCCTCCTGAATATCATCATATTCACTTGGTAGCTAACTCCCATCATCGAGAGTTCCACAAAGCACGAAGCAAGCAACATTCGGGCATCGAAGAATACATAGAGCTCACTCTGGATGATAACTCCGTTTGCTCTGCTCATTCTCAAGGTACCACCGATGTAACATCCCAAAAATACAGTCTGAAAATTTTGTTCAATTTAATAATAAAAGCCATAGTTTATAAACCTCATATAAAAATCATAAGCAATGTATCTCAAAATATTATAACGACTGTCAAGTATATTAGAGTATAAACATCCCAGGCTGAACAAATGGTGTGTGCACTACAATCTTCCCGAGCTCCTCTTTTGAAAACTGAGTACCTGAAAGCAAAACTGAAACTGTAAGCACAAAGCTTAGTGAGCTCCCCCAAACTACCACGTACCATATAATAACATATAACACATACTGGGCCTTGCCCTCTGCATCGGACTGAAGTCCATAAACTGCATCGGACCGAAGTCCGGAACTAACCAGGGCCTTGCCCTCTGCATCGGACCAAAGTTCGGGACTAACTGCATCGGACCGAAGTCCGGAACTGACTGGGACCTTGTCCCCTACATCGGACCGAAGCCCAGAACTAACTGCATCGGACCGAAGTCCGGAAACTAACTGGGCATAACATAACATAGCATAAACATTTCAACTGACATGAACACATAAACTGCATATTGCATCGGGTCGTAGCCCGAAACACATAACACATAAACCCTGTCTGAGCCACGAAGGCATCAAACATTCTAACTACTGCATCAGACTGAGGTTCGGAAACTACTACTAATTAAATGGGTCGGCATTGTGGCCTTAGACCCGTTCCTACTGGAAGAAAACTCACCTCACACTGCTAAAGTCCTGCAGACTCAATCCCACACTGCTGAAGTCCCGCAGACTCGACCCCAGCTACTAGATGACAGATTCCCGATCTATCAACATCAAAATAACACCCAATTAATAATTGGGTTCCACTACATAACTATAATTACATACTTTAGATAATTACTACATTACCCTAAGCTTGGCTTACCCAAGCCCTAGGTCCAATCCATAGGCCCAAAGTCAACTAGGGATCAAAGCCCAACATATGGCCCAATTTTCCAAATTAGGCCCAAACCTCTACATGGGCTTCCCTTAAGGCCTAATTGTCCAGTCCAGTCCAACATGTCCCATATTAAGGGCCCAATATTATACAACCCTCAAGGCCCAAATTTCCAAATTGGGCCCAATCCTTCATATGGGCCTTACCCTAAGCCCAACTAATTACTCTAGTCCATTTGATTATTCTTGGATGGCCCATTAATAAACCAATTACCAATTAACCAATTGAAAAGCCCAACTCAAGGCCCATTTGACATTAGGGTTTCACATAAAATAATAATTAGGATTAAGTGTTTCTCACTTAACCCATTAACAGCTTAACCCACTAAGGACTTAATCCATTAAGTCCGTTATTGCTTAGATTAATTTCTGCTAATAATTACTATTTAATATTTCACTTATTAAATAATTCCTCTGTGTGTATGTGTGTCCTGATAATTTCTCAAATATTAGTATTTTCTCAATTAGCCAATTAAGGACTTAGTCCATTAAGTCCTTTATTCTAGTAGATAAATGGCATGAAATAGTTTGGGCTTGATTCACAACCCAATCCTTATGGTACAAAAGTGGGTCCAAATAAGTCCAAGGCCTAAATACTCATAATTAGGGTTTTCCACCCAAACATGGCCCAATAGGCCCAAAACCAATCTCTAAGCCCATTAGGCTTTGCTAGCAGGGCACCACCCACTACCACCTCGGGTAGTGGTGGTTGATGGCGGCTCACGGCAGCGGCCACCACCTTACGGTGGTAGGTACTATTATTTTTATTATTCATGCTAATTACAATTACAAGGTTTTTATCCAAAATAAACACACACACACACACACACACTAACTAACACACACACACACACACACTAAACAACATAAACACACACACAGCCACCTTGTGGTGACCGGTGGTGGGAGATGGTGCCAGCCACCACCTTACGGTGGTGGCGGTGGCTTTCTTGATCTATCCGGCCAACAACCCAATCATACATCACTGAAATAACTCACATACGCCCTAACTGATTACAAAACAACCCTAGCCACCCACCTGGCAGCACATGGCGATGGCAGCCACCACCTCACGGTGGTGGCGGTGGTCAGTCCTTACTGATCACAAAGTCTCCGGCAGCAGCGAAACTGCGATGATGCAACAAGAATAAGGGAGGTGGTGGCCTAGCCGTTGTCGAAGGGCAGCAGCAGCAACGCACTCAAGGCGGTGGTCACAGCTTCCGTTGGCGTCTGGGTTGCTCATGACTAGATGATAGCTGGGTGACTCCGATGATGGCGGCTGATCTCCCGCGTCCGACTTCATCCTCAACAACCACAGGAGGCGTGGCGGGTATCTTTGACTCCAACAGCTATGGTGGCGCCGGAGATGGCGGAAATCACAACATCAGCTCACCGATCTCCAACCGATACGGATTTATTCGACTGGTCTTGGTGGTTCTTGTCGCTCACAACGTCGCCGGAAGTAGATAGTGACTTGGTCGGATCGGAAAAGTACGAGGAGATGGAGATGGTGGCTACTTCACTCTCGGTGGCTGGAACCTTATGTTTAGGGTTTGACATGGTGAGGGTGGCGGGTTATATCCCCTGCCACTTTAAATCTTTCGCCAAATTACAACTCTGGTCCCTCCAACTCTAATTTAATTCAAATTTGATCAATATTTTACCTTTTTAACCCAAGTCATCTAAAATATTTACAATTCAACTCTATATGTTACCATTTAGGCCCTAAGCCTCCAAAATCTCTTCAAATTAAGTCCCAATAGAATACCAAGTAGTCCCTTCCCTTATGATTATTTACAGAACCAATCTAAAACTTACACGTTTAGCCCCCGACTTCTAATATTGTAACAATTAACTCCTCGAGACCAACTCTTATTATAAAATAATTGATTTTAGGGATACTATCCATTCCTCAACTTTATCTATTTATTCATTTAATAAACGGGGTGTTACAACTCTCCCCCACTTAAATTGGATTTCGTCCTCGAAATCATTCCTTATCATACCTTACACGCTAACTACTCAAGTAACATGGTCACAACCCTAAGCACACCCGAGCCTTCTCAGGATAACTGTGACCAAACATTGCAAGGCCCTAAATTCTGCAGATAAACAAATTCCTGGCAACAAGATCACATCTACTCCGTTTGAAATCTGTTGTCTCGAGATGGTCTGAATCCTCAACAGACCACTCTTACTGAATAATTATTGCCGAATCCATTCTACTTGTCTCTCAGTAGTCTATTGATCTCCTGATAACTCAAAGCTCCCACTAGAAAAACGAATCACGGATCCACTTATCCTTGTGATTCACTTATACTGACCAAAACTTAGATAATCCTGATGTAATTGACTTAGCATATCCCAAGCTGTCTGTGACTCTAACCATACATGAAATCCCACAATACCATTACTGCTTGAGACCCAAAACTATCTGAATCACTAGTCTGCCTGGAAACAATGAACTGCCTGAAACACTGGCTGTCTGAAACACTGAACTGCCTGAAACACCATGCTGCTACATGGCTGCTTTCCAACATCTATCGAGACCTTCCTGGTCTCAATTCATTCGTCATTCATCTGAAATATCGGGTTCCAGCCCGGCTGCAGAGCCAAAGGACTCCCAATCTAGTCGCCTCAAACGACTTCTGAACAAAATCCTTCGATGGAACTAGTTGCCACTAGTTATCATGTCACTGAGGCTCTAACAACCTTCTGATCCAATCGATCGGGTTCGTACATCGAATCCTGACATCACCAAATACAAGCTAAAAGTGATTGCTACCTAACCGATGGTAGCCCTATATCACAAACAATCTTATACAATCCATTGCTTCCCCGATCCCTCAACTGCAGTGGCATTCGTGCAGTTGTATCACTGACTCAACCCGATCTAATCCTTCTGGGTAATTCCGAAATCAAATCCGTGGATTTCAATATCCTTACTGCTACACCCGAACTGGTGGGTACTACTCTTCTTTCAGCACCCTAACAACGCAATCATGCTATCTACCAACCCAGTGAATGCTACGGCTACACCCGTAGCCTTACAACACTCTAACACTATCTGGCTGCTAGTGAATGCTACGACTACAACCACAGACTTACAACACACTAACACTATCTATACTGGATCGAACACGCACTTGACCCGCACTATGCTGAACTCATGTCCTGAATGGAATCCCCAACCGGATTCCCTAAGGCTTGCTAGCAACATTCTGATAACGCGATATCATCATTGACAAGATTTTCCGAACTTCCATATCACACTTTCCTCGAACCATACAGCCACATGGGCTGTCTTCCTTTCAGACAAGGATGCAAAACTTATCCTAGTCACAAAAATGCTCCCGCTTCTGAATCCTTGGGCGATTCTCCCCCACTTTGATTCATCTAATGCCTTACATCACACAAAACTGGAAGAATTCCGAATTCTTCTCACCACCCATGACCAATCTGCTAGAACTCACGCTTATCCGTGCTAGGGTTTCAACACCAGCTAATCCAAAAGATCACACAACTTCTAAAAAAAATCCAAATAAATCTCCGGTAATAACCCGCTAGACCCAGGAAGCTCCGAAACTCAATTGGAGACCTCGGAATCTCCCACTGCATCACGGCCTCTATCTTGGTCGGATCGACTAGAATATTTTTCTGATTGACAAGGTGCCTAAGAAATTGCACCCCACGCAACCAGAACTCACAATTAGAGAACCTTGCGAAAATTCTTTCCCTCCTCTAAGTCTCTAGCACCTCCCTTAGGTGCTTCTCGTGCTACTCCTAGGTCTTGGAATAAACCAAGATGACGTTGTACTCTCCTACTCCCGCAAGTGCTAAACTGAATCTGGTCCTGCTGGTCTCTCGAAAGCTGATCCGAAATCTTGGGTCTCCTCTCGAGACCCTTCTATAAAATCAACTGCTCTGGTTCCCTCATACCCATGTGCTCCAAGTCCATATCCCGTTCTCAAGCTTTAGAAGTCATATCATTCAGGGTCTTGCACCCTTAGATACTCACGATTTCCCTGCTATGATTCTACAGTATGTTCTGATAACTTACCTTCTTCATTTCCTCATCTGCTGCATATTGCGGTACCATATAAGCTCTTTCTCGAGACTTGGCAGTGATCTCTACCACAGTCTCAGTCGTCTGGTGGAGATCTAACAACTCTTGCGCCAAGTTCCACGCCTCAAAAGTCTGGGCACACTCTTCCCAGAATCTAGTCTGAAATTCATCCCATGACATAGCATCAACCGCATCATTACTCAACTCACTACCAACCTTTTCCTATCAATCTCGTGCTCTATCCCTCAAGATATAGGAAGCAAGTCAGATCTTGTCTCCTTTCGAGACGTCTGGTATGAAAAATGTTGGCGACATATGCCACTCATCTGCTGCTAACAATGGGGTCCCAAACCCTCATGACAATCTGAAGCTTCACAAACTCTGAATTCCCAAAACATCAACATACAGGTCCCTATCATGTCTGCAACCTCAGTGCAGAAAGTGATCGGTCTCTCATCACACATCTTTATAATACCCTCCTTGATCATACTGAGGATCGCAGGAGTCTGGTCAATGATACTGTGCATAACCTTATATGGAATGAACTCCTTCACCTGATCATCGAGCTGCCCTGCTACCGAGTTCGAGCCTGATCCCTCATCGATACCAGAACTACCATCTGGTCTACCACATAGGATCACTATACTTGGCAATATACCATCACTAACATCACAATAATTATCCAAACTCGAGGGATCTCACACACTACAAGTTATCTGGTTTCATCTTAGCCGTCATTGATTCGAGTATAGATCCTCTGCTTTTAGTAGTATGGGCCCCTACTACGTTCCACATCTATCCGTACTTTCCTCAAGGACTGCCTTGACTCCACCAAGTCCCTTCTACTACTACTACTGATCTCATGCTAATCTCATCCTAGGCTTGCCCTAGGGAAATCTCTGACTCCACTAACTTACTCCCCACCATCAGCTGCATAAGAAGTTCCTGCTTTCTTCCCCTAACTAGCTCGCGAATACTATTACATATTACTCAGACTAGATAATTCTTCGAATGAGAGACCCTACCCTACAACGGTTGGACTCAGACAAGAGCTACAAAATAGGGCAAGACCTAACCTTCTAAAATTATTTAGTCCTTGCAATATGTAACTTATCATATTCGTTTACTAGTTAGTGAAAGACAACTAGAACTCCTAGGAGCACAAAGCAAGCAGCATTCGGGCGTTCAGTACACATACTAAATCATATACTACTCTGGCTATCATACTGGCTACTCTGTACTAGCATGCATTTCTCAATAAGCTGGTACACATATAACAGGCACATAAGGCATCCTCCCTAGATCCTTAGCCCTAACTAGCATGCAATTCTCATAAAGCTGATACACATATAATACGCACATAAGGCATCCTTCCTAGAACCTTAGCCCTATTCTAGAATGATGTTCTACTGAAACTGAAACTAATATTCATAACATAAACTTGTATGGGTAATTTGGGAGTACTTACTTGAGCTCGGCTGATTGCATGCACCACACCCTTTTCTCTTTTCAAAACTCTTTTCGCTTTTTCTAAAACTCTTTTCTTTATACTTTTTCTAAAATTGTTTTCTTTTCTCAAAATTCTTTTATAACCATGGTTTTTCTCTTGAAAACTTTGTACCACTTCCTTAGTTTGAGTTCAGACACACTCGGGAGTGCGCCCGAATCCCTCAAACCAAGGCTCTGATATCAACTTGTAACATCCCAAAAATACAGTCTGGAAATTTCGTTCAATTTAATAATAAAAGCCATAGTTTATAAACCTCATTTAAAAATCATAAGCAATGTATCTCAAAATATTATAACGACTGTCAAGTATATCAGAGTATAAACATCCCAGGCTGAACAAATGGTGTGTGCACTGCAATCTTCCCGAGCTCCTCTTTTGAAAACTGAGTACCTGAAACAAAAACTGAAACTGTAAGCACAAAGCTTAGTGAGCTCCCCCAAACTACCACGTACCATATAATAACATATAACACATACTGGGCCTTGCCCTCTGCATCAGACCGAAGTCCAGAAACTGCATCGGACCGAAGTCCGGAACTAACCAGGGCCTTGCCCTCTGCATCGGACCAAAGTTCGGGACTAACTGCATTGGACCGAAGTCCGGAACTGACTGGGACCTTGTCCCCTACATCGGACCGAAGCCCGGAACTAACTGCATCGAACCGAAGTCCGGAAACTAACTGGGCATAACATAACATAGCATAAACATTTCAACTGGCATGAACACATAAACTGCATATTGCATCAGGTCGTAGCCCAAAACACATAACACATAAACCCTGTCTGAGCCACGAAGGCATCAAACATTCTAACTACTACATCAGACTGAGGTTCGGAAACTACTACTAATTAAATGGGTCGGCATTGTGGCCTTAGACCCGTTCCTACTGGAAGAAAACTCACCTCACACTGCTAAAGTCCCGCAGACTCAATCCTACACTGCTGAAGTCCCGCAGACTCGACCCCAGCTGCTAGATGACAGATTCCCGATCTATCAACATCAAAATAACACCCAATTAATAATTGGGTTCCACTACATAACTATAATTACATACTTTAGATAATTACTACATTACCCTAAGCTTGGCTTACCCAAGCCCTAGGTCCAATCCATAGGCCCAAAGTCAACTAGGGATCAAAGCCCAACATATGGCCCAATTTTCCAAATTAGGCCCAAACCTCTACATGGGCTTCCCTTAAGGCCCAATTGTCCAGTCCAGTCCAACATGTCCAATATTAAGGGCCCAATAATATAAAACCCTCTAGGACCAAATTTCAAAATTGGGCCCAATCCTTCATATGGGCCTTACCCTAAGCCCAACTAATTACTCTAGTCCATTTGATTATTCTTGGATGGCCCATTAATAAACCAATTACCAATTACCCAATTGAAAAGCCCAACTCAAGGCCCATTTGACATTAGGGTTTCACATAAAATAATAATTAGGGTTAAGTGTTTCTCACTTAACCCATTAACGGCTTAACCCACTAAGGACTTAATCCATTAAGTCCATTATTGCTTAGATTAATTTCTGCCAATAATTACTATTTAATATTTCACTTATTAAATAATTCCTCTGTGTGTGTGTGTGTCCTGATAATTTCTCAAATATTAGTATTTTCTCAATTAGCCAATTAAGGACTTAGTCCATTAAGTCCTTTATTCTAGTAGATAAATGGCATGAAATAGTTTACGCTTGATTCGCAATCCAATCCTTATGGCACAAAAGTGGGTCCAAATAAGTCCAAGGCCTAAATACTCATAATTAGGGTTTTCCACCCAAACATGGCCCAATAGGCCCAAAACCAATCTCTAAGCCCATTAGGCTTTGCTAGCGGGGCACCACCCACTACCACCTCGGGTAGTGGTGGTTGATGGCGGCTCACGGCGGCGGCCACCACCTTACGGTGGTGGTTACTATTATTTTTATCACTCATGCTAATTACAATTACAAGGTTTTTATCCAAAATAAACACACACACACAATAACTAACACACACACACACACTAAACAGCATAAACACACAGACAGCCACCTTGTGGTGGCTGGTGGTGGGAGATGGTGGCGGTGGCTTTCTTGATCTATCCGGCCAACAACCCAATCATACATCACTGAAATAACTCACATAAGCCCTAACTGATTACTAAACACCTAGCCACCCACCTGGCAGCACATGGCGATGGTAGCGGTGGTCAGTCCTTACAGATCACAAAATCTCCGGCAGCAGCGAAACTGCGACGATGCAACAAGAATAAGGGAGGTGGTGGCCTAGCCGTTGTCGAAGGGCAGCAGCAGCAAAGCATTCAAGGCGATGGTCACAGCTTCCATTGGCGTCTGGGTTGCTCGGGACTAGATGATAGCTGGGCGACTCCGATGATGGCGGCTGATCTCCCGCGTCCGACTTCATCCTCAACAACCACAGGAGGCGTGGCGGGTATCTTCGACTCCAACAGCTATGGTGGAACCGGAGATGGCGAAAATCACTACATCAGCTTGCCGATCTCCAACTGATACGGATTTATTCGACTGGTCTCGGTGGTTCTTGTCGCTCACAACGTCGCCGGAAGTAGATAGTGACTTGGTCGGATCGGAAAAGAACGAGGAGATGGAGATGGTGGCTACTTCACTCTTGGCGGCTGGAACCTTATGTTTAGGGTTTGACATGGTGAGGGTGGCGGGTTATATCCCCGGCCACTTTAAATCTTTCGCCAAATTACAACTCTGGTCCCTCCAACTCTAATTTAATTCAAATTTTATCAATATTTTACCATTTTAACCCATGTCATCTAAAATATTTACAATTCAACTCTATATGTTACCATTTAGGCCCTAAGCCTCCAAAATCTCTTCAAATTAAGTCCCAATAGAATACCAAGTAGTCCATTCCCTTATGATTATTTACAGAACCAATCTAAAACTTACACATTTAGCCCCCGACTTCTAATATTGTAACAATTAACTCCTCGAGACCAACTCTTATTATAAAATTATTGATTTTAGGGATACTATCCATTCCTCAACTTTATCTATTTATTCATTTAATAAACAGGGTGTTACAACCGAACTCTGCAACTCTGCCCCTCGCGGGTTCTAACTATTCTTCGATAAACACCACAATACTCATCTAGGCGTCTCTTCTAGATTACTCTTCTACTAAAATCCCCTAAAAGGATTCCAACTGAATACTCTCACTCATACTCAAAAGCACATCACATATAACAACAACTCCTAGACTAAGGCATCACAAATCAGGCCACTCTATTCCTAAGATATGGAATACCTAGCCTGTCTCTAGCATGCATTATATCTTATAAATGTATCATAAATATCTCATAACACAAAATTAATGGTATTTTGGGAAATCATCGTTCGGGCTCTGGCTGATTGTACACACTACTCTTTCTCGCTTCCTCTTTGAACTCTTATTCACTTTTAGAAAATCATTTCTTTTTAAAACTTGTCCTACTTCCTCAGCTTGAGTCCAGATTTACCCGAAGGTGCATCCGAATCCCTCAAACCAAGGCTCTGACACCAACTTGTAACACCGTAATTTTTCAAACAATTTTTTTTTTGAAAATTAAAATAGTTTATCTCTTTAACGCTTTTCATAAAAATCCCGTTTGTTTAATTTACAATACATAACTCTTTTGTTCAATCAATTAATAAACCAGGATCCTCAAATAAACGCTTCCCCCGGTGTGTACAATCAAGCCAATGTCGTCCCGTGAGCCTGAGAAACCTGAAACACATAACACAAAACACTGTAAGCATGAAGCTTAGTGAGTTCCCCAAAATACCACTCTAGCACATATTAGCCACTCAAGGCTATAACTCTGTTGACCCTCTGGTCTGTGTGTCTCAGTGGGACCCTCCAGTCCCAACTCTCTGTGGACCCTCTAGTCCTAACTCTGATAACTCTGAATCATGCATATCACATATCACAATAAATCTCAGAAAATAAACAACATACAATTACACTGGCACATAACTCTAAACCTAACTCTGTAGATCCTCTGGTCCTAGCTCTGTGGACCTTCCGGTCCTAACTCTGATATACACACAACATAAATCACATAGAAATAATGCAGTGCCACACATAGCATAGATAGAATACAATAACTCTGTCACATAACTCTATTACCACTCTAGGTAAAGTATAGTGAGAAGACTCACCTGCTACTGCCGACTGAAGAACAAGATCACGCTGCTCCGACCACCGTCACGAACTCCACCATTGAATCACCGAAACTAATAAATACCAATAACAACCAAAATACCCCTGGATGTCAACTGTTCAACTCTTCGTCAAAGTCAAAGTCCTCAGTCAAATCCAACCCTCCTGACTGACTCTACTCGCCGAGTCAACCCGCTAACTCGTCGAGTCCCCATGCTCTGAAACTCCCATAACACGACTCAACTCGCCGAGTACCACATCTCTGAGTCAAACCGTACTCAACTCACTAAGTCATCCCTCGACTCATCGATTCTCAGCTTAACCAGAAAAGGTTAAGACCTCAAGACTAGACTCGCCGAATCCAAGAATAGACTCGCCTAGTCCAAGGCTATCTTCAACCAACTCGCCGAGTTTCTTCCTATCTTCATGCAACTCGCCGAGTACACCCATGTGACTCGCCGAGTACCACAAGCTCTTAACCCATACAGAGGCTTTCCAAGCCATGCAGGGTCTCCAATCCATAGATGTAACGACCAAAAATTTCAACAAAATTTAAACTTTTCAAAAACAACCCATTTTAATAATGTTATTACAAAAAGGTTTTCAATACATCTATTATCAGAGTATTCCCAGAACCATAACAAAAACCATAAACACGAGGAGCGGTACGATCACGCCTTCGCCTTGCCCCGGTCCCCTGAAGAACCTGAAAAACATTAAACCACAACTGTAAGCCCAAAAGCTTAGTGAGATACCCCCAAAATACCAACCACATATACGACCTTCTTGGCTACGACCTTCCGGTACAAATCATAATGCCTTCTGGCCCATTACATAAATAGCATACATAATATAACAGAACATAGAACAACCATGCATATCGGGTCTACTGTGTGACTGGTCCGCCGTATCGGGCCTTCAGTCCACCGAGTCCATCCTCCGAGTCTAGTCATGTCTTTTGAGTCTGCAGTGTGGTTGGTCCGCCCGCACCGGGCCTTCAACCGACCTGGTCCACTCTCTGAGTCTATAGTATGACTGGCCCACCCTGCATCAGGCCTTCAGTCGGCCTGGTCCACTCTCCAAGCCTCGGCACGTCTGGTCCGCACTCTTGGGGCCTACAGCCTATCCGGACCACTCGCTGGGCCTTCGGAACAACCGTTCCGCCCTGGGTATCTTGGCCTACAGCACAAAGCAGGACCCGCCTCAACCCAACTCCAGTCCAAACAACCATGTGCACATACCATACAATCATATAACAGTTCATAGTCAACAAGCCGATCAAGCAGATCACATAACATATCATTACCCTAACCAGGATACTGACCTAACCGGTCACTAGCATAGCATCACCCTACATATCACGAAACCGACCTTAACCAGGTCTCTAACATATACCATCCTAGCTACCAGGATGCAGACATATCAAACAATAACATAACAATGAATATCCAAATCTCAATCCGACAAAGGGGCGGCCTTGGTGCCTTAGACCCTGTCGATATAGTGAGGATAACTCACCTTGCGAATGCCGATACTCTGAACAGAAGAAGCAGACTCTCGAATCACCAACTCACCGCAAATCCCAAACTATCCATCATAACAAAATAAACATTAGGCCAATCATACATCCACTTATCGGGCCAAGACCAAAGTCCAAATCTCATACAAAGTCTAATATTGGCCCAAGTTACCAAATTGGGCCCACCTCACCAAATGGGCCTATATCCAATGTCCATAACAATAATTGGGCCCAAAATACTCTATCCATAAATGCCCAGACTTGGCCCAATAACCAACTACCCACAAACGGCCCAAACTCAAAGGCCCAAAATAAAGATCCAATCAGGGGGAGTACGTTGGGCGTACTCTCTCTGGTACGCTGGGTGCACTGCAATGTTCACAAAAAGGAATCGGGGCACTGGCCCGCTACGCTGGGCGTACAACCAAGTTATGCGGGGCGTAACTTCGCCACTCATAAAATCATTATAACTTCTTAATGGCTTAAGCTATTAAGCCCAAACTTTAGATCCCTAGGCCAAATATGATTAGAATTCATAAAGTCTCAAACTTTATCACTTGGGACGTCCATAAGCTCTTAATCCAAGGTCTTGACCCATTAAGACCCATATATCTCACACATGGAACAACTACAGCCCTTGGGACCTCATTTTTCTCACTCAAGACCTCTCCAAAGGTCTGAAAGGACAGGTAATCTTGACCAACTCGAAACATGCAACAATGTGAGGACTTTTAGGACAAGAATGGTGTCAAAACTTCACAATACATAGATCTACACAATATGAATGTCAAGCAAGAAGCTTTATACCTCAAACAAGCTCCAAAGGATGGTATCTCTTCAGATCTACAAGCTCCAATCGTTCCTCTTCTTCTTTGATAACTTCTCCTTTCTCCTTCTAACCTTTCTTTTGCCAAAATGAGCTTTCCAAGGTCAAACACACCCAATAATGGAGGGAATACGAGTTCTAGGGTTTCTGAGGTTAAGGATGAGCTTTAAGGAGGCTAGGTTATGAACCAACATAATCCTTATATAGTGGCTGACCCTAAATTAGGGTTTGGGGTTTCTGAGAGTACGCTGGGCGTACTCACCCGGCCACCCGCACACTTCTCGCCCTTTACGCTGGGTGTACGTCCAGCTTACGCTGGGCGTACCCAGCCAAAACCTAAAACTTATGCATGCATGCCATGCATGCATGGGACCCTTCCCACTTATTTCACAAAGAGGTATAACAATGCTCATCTTCAAAACGCTGTAACTCCTCTACTCTAAACCCGCTCCCAAATAACTTTACATTCATACCAGGGTGATAAGAAGCCCAATGCTTCTAACAACACACACCATCCCGAAACCTTCTCGGATAGAACCCATTTCCCGAAAGAGGACCAGAATTACCCTTCCTCTTAAATCTCAGGGACTCATAATTAAAAACTTTAGGAACGGGGTGTTACAATTCTCCCCCACTTAAATTAGGCTTCGTCCTCGAAGCCTTCGACAACTCTACTCCGAAACTACCCCTGCAATGCACAGCCTGGCATTCATCGGACCAGGCTACTCAAGACTCGACCATCGAATCCGAAACCCAACTTTACCTTTCTTGCTGATAGGATGACACATGCTTCAGCCTTAGAGCAACTCCCACGAGTTCTCCACCGCAATCTCATAACCGCACCGAACTGGCTCTAGTGTCCTCGGGTTAGGAAAACCCCGATACACTGATGACACTTCCAAACATCCTTCCGGATGAATTTTTCACCACTTAAAACAAAATCTATCTGGAAATCCAAGATTCCATCCATGCATTCTTGCCGATCTTCAGCA